TTTACTTTAAAGTATATAGTTGTTAGTCAAAGAACATCAGCCTTGACACTATCGGAAAAACACAGATGGGCGATTGACCGCCTTACCGCTAATAGAATGCCACTGTATAAAGCGATTATCAACCTTTTCGAAACTTTCAAGCTTGTCGCAAAAAAAGTTTACATGGAACCAGTCGGAAATATTTTCCAATAAAGTGTTTTATTTAATTTGCGCTGTTGCAAAACAATTAAGTTAATTAAATATAGAGAGTGCCATAGTCTAATTTGCTCTCAGGCCGATGACTTCTTCAAAAATCGATCGGCCGTATTCGAAGCCCAGAGTTTTGCCGACGATGCGGAGAAGATTAAGTACAGTTTCGCCGAAAGACGAACGAGCGATGCCAGTGCGTTGTGATGCACTCCGGCTGCCTCAGTAAATCAGATACTGGTTAAATTGAATTTTGACGCAAAAACCGAAATTCCCATGGTCAGTGTTCATACGTTCGTAGTAACGAGTCGGCTGAACACCGCTCGAGTGATAACTACAATTAACAAAGATAGCGATGGAGCATTTGTTAAGCTGCCGAGTACCCCCCCAATCAACTGCAGGACAGCATACCATGTATCGCTACTTATTGCATATCACGAATATCTGTGATCATGAAAAGTTGACAACAACGAAGCTTCTAGCAAAGCATGTGCATTAAAACTGACATTTCCGTAGTTAATGTTTTATCCAGTCAAAAAGAATAAAGTTTAAAGTAACTTCAGTAAACAACAGTGCAAATTTGCCGACCGCCAATAACCTCCTTAAAAAGACTTGTACTTGCACCGACGTCGATGTGACCTCAAGGCCTAACAAGTCATTAACAAACAATACGAGAGCCAGTTGTTAACCTAACATTTCTGCCTAGAGTTTGAAAATATTCGTTGTCCAACCGCGCACAGCAACAGTATTCGGCTCGTGAGATTTTTTCTGTCATCTATCAATGATAAGGTTAATGATGGACTGAATACTCTAAATTTGACCTCCAGCACCCGGCCAGTTTGGCACCAAGGATCTTACCAGAAGCGACGTTTGATTATCACTGCAATACACGCACTCTCTCATGGTACCACGGCGAATACCAAGCAATGGCCTAGAACCTCGGCACCAACGGAATACCCTAGAAACACCGTTGTCTTCACAACCCGAACTACCGACTACTTAAAGATGAACCGAGAGATGGATCTTTAACTTTACGTGTATTACGCCTTACTTCACACACACGCACACACACACATACTGACAGCAAAATCAGCAATATGTAAGACACCAATTTTCGACAGTTATCTTGGCACAGCCATGGCGATAATTATTTAAAACGAGGAACTTTCGAAAACAGATATATCTACAATCAATAGACTTACAACCTTACCAAAACCACTTTCATGGCATCACATAAACCGCTTCCTCGCTCGTAGATTATCATTGGCAGGCGACCATTTAAAAGCAGGTCATCGTTTCATGGTAACTTAAGTAACTAAGGTGCTAGATGTATTTCATCTTTTACTCAATAGTTTTTCAAAAGACAGTATTCCTGTGATTCTTTCTTCAAACGACTCTGAACAACTAGATAGCAGAGTACGTCCTGATGCTTGGTCTTGAAACGTTCTGCATTTATTAATGTACAGTAGAGCGAAGTAAAGTATGTGATTAAATTTGGGAGTTGATAGATGACGAATAATATGCAATGCATAACTGCACAGTACACGCAAACAAAAGTGTTAGTTTCATCGCTTCTAAATGACCGACAAGCACCCTTTCCTGCACAACCAGTACCATTCAACTGAAGAGGTACCCTTTCGTATTCGATTGTAGCGTTCAGTGGAATATTCTTCGTCAAACAGCGGCTGGGTTAACCTGAAGCTGAAACGCAACGCAATTGGCGACTTTGCCTGTCATCAATCATGTACTAACAGTCGATACTTGTTACGTGTTCCCGCAGCAACGCATATACATATGTATATTGTACTGCCGACTATAGGTGGACGTTTTCGCTGTGGTTCAGATGCAAGCTTACGCTTAGGCGGTAATAGAGTAAAATCCGCAGATTAACGATCTAGTACTAACAGTGAATAGGTTCTCAGTCCATACCGCCATGGAGTGAACGGATAACCATTGTGGACGGTAATAAGAACAAATCTATTTGGTTTTGAAAGAGACATGCCAGTTAGAGGACTTCGCATAAAAACACGTTTTTACGCTTAAGAGGTAGTACAAAGGAGTATTATCGTTCAAATATCGTTTCCCCTCT